ACTTTACCAATCTATCCAATGGTCAAAGGGTGAAGTGTAAAACTCGATCCCATGATCTGTCTGTTGCCCCTTCTACCGGGGCAAGGTTCTTTCAAGACAATTATTTGTTCATCATCTTCCTCCGACGAGAATAGAGAGGTGGCGACAACAGTGGTTGACCATCGGAAGAAGATGATGGCGGGGCGTAGCCCCTTTTGTCGTGGTTGACCGTTGGCGACAACAGTGGTTGCTGGGGCAAGAACTGATCTGTTCATCGCCCTTCTGCAGGGCAAGGTTCTTCTGAGACAGGTTATCTGTTCATCATCTTCCTCCGATGAATATAGAGAGGCGACGACAGTAGTGGTTGACTGTCAGAGGAAGATGATGGCGGGACGTAGCCCCTTCTTCTATGGTTGACCGTCGGCAACAGCAATGGTTACTGAGGCAAGAACTGATTGGTCATGCTCTATACCCATCTCCTCTTCACCTGAGTATCCTCAGTCTCTCTCATTCTCTACCACTTTTGTATTTGCCATGGTTCCCCAATTGACTACTGTGACTGTCCATGGCATCGCATTGGCTTCTCGCCATTCATGGGATTCCCAGGTGCTGTGGCAAGTCAGTACCTGGAACTGTTCAATGAAACCAACAATGGAGACTTCTCCAATCACGTTTTCATCGTAGAGCTAGATACAATTCTTAGCCCCGAATTTGTTGATATAAATGATAATCATTTTGGGATCGATGTGAACAACCTTAAGTTGATTGAATCAACTCCAATGGCTTATTATTCAAGCAAAGAAGGGATCAACAAGAACCTACACCTCATAAGTGGAGATCCAATGCAAGTTTGGATAGAGTATGATGGTGTAGAGAAGCAACTCAATGTAACATTAGCTCCACTTTATTACCCCGAACCTGAGATTCCCCTACTGTCGACATCACTTGATCTTTCTTCGGTTTCCATGGACTCTATGTATGTGGGTTTCTCTTCATCCACTGGTGCGATTGCAAGCTCCCATTATATTCTTGGATGGAGCTTCAACAGAAGTGGCCAAGCGCAGGAACTGGGTCTGATACGCCGCTCACATACGAGAGCTTCTCTTATTGCAACCCCCGGTCACCAGTTTTTTGTGTTTGATACGCCACTCACATGCTCTATTTCTTGGCCGACCAACAAGGACTAGAAGAACTTTTCCCTCAACGATTTACCAAACACGAAGAATATTAAATGGAACAAACATCTAGTTCCCATTTTACACTCTCATAAACCTATCGGTGTAATATTCCTCGATCTAAATTTAGATTTTAAAACGTAGCCTAATGATATTTATTGGATTACTCTTATTACAATAATAAAAAGGATAGTAGTCTGTATTACACCAAGTTGACGAAATGAGATCCCCATCCCGCACATGATTTTGGAATATTAATCAAATCAAGAAAAAAGAAGAAGAGGGGAGAAAAGGCATTGTAGCAAGCTTAAGATGAAGTGTGACTGTGAGTGTGGTAGCTGCCTAGCTGGTGGGTATAGCAAACAAGATATCATGGCCGCGGATTCTCATCAGTCATCACCACCTTGATCTTGATGCTTATGGGATAAGCGGCTCAACTCTCCAGTACACGTGCGCCATCTGCAGTGTCGAGGATTGTCACCCGTTGATGGGATAACTGGATAAGTGGCCTAACGCTCGAGTACACGTGTGCCATCAGTGCGGTGTGGAGGTAGACGAATTGTATGTGCTAGCGATCAGAATTCAGAAACGGGTTGTTAATTGTTTCATTGTTTGTTATCTAATATCTATAATCTATAATCTATAATCTATCCAGGGTGTTAAACGAGCATGTTATAAGCACATTCATATGCATATTATTATCCATTCTCTCTCTCTCTCACGTATTTATGATTTATGTATAGTAAATTAGTAATGTAAAGAGATATTATTATAGATTTGGCCAGGTTGGAATGGGTCACATCAAATTAATATGATGCTTTGCTTAGATTAATATAATAAGAGCGCATTAATGAGTGGTCGGCCGGCCGGCACTTAATAATCTCATTAACCAATTAAGGAATTGTAGTGAGGTGCCGTGCCAAGGAAAAGAAATAAAAATTTTGTAAATGTGATAGAAAGGAGACTGTTTGAGATGTTCTTTTTATTTTGAGCCTTGTTGTCTCTCTGATTCTCTTTCCTCTTGAGCGTCCCCTAAAATGCTAATGCCATGTAGAGGTAGTAGGGCATAGGTGAGGCATCACTATCAGGTCAGATGCGATGGAAATTGAAAGGAAACATGTTGCTTTTTGCACGTGAGATGCGGGGGTGTGAGTTGTTTGGTCTTGGCTCCCCTACCCCATAGCCATTGTTCTTAATCACCGGTAAACGACACACACCAAGGATGGGTGTACCTCTGTACTACGTATATCACTATTTCAGCTAATGTCTTACTCTTCCACTCTCTACACTACGATCCACTGGCTGACTTGCCCCAACATGCAAGTTGTTGGCATCGCTATGTTGAGACTTGACTAGGGGTGAACCTTTTTTTTTTTTTTTTCCTTTTACTCTTTTAACATCATTAAATTAATTCAATCCAATTAATTCGGATTCCGATCCCTGAGAGTTGAGATTTTGAGAGAATTGAGATATCCTCCAACGTCCCCTCCCTGTCCCATCATTCGCATAATCACATCACGGAGGAGGAGGACTATTATATTCTTACGCTGTGGCCTGTGTGTGTGAGAGAGAAAGGTGAGTTATAGCCACTGGCCCTTGCACCCAGCGTTTCCCAACTGGGAAATTTTTTGGGCCTCATGTCGGTCCTCAGTCCACGCATTATTAATAACTATGGAATGAATTTAATGCTTAAATTACCAAACGTCAACCCTGTGCTCGCTGCCTAGAAATAGACAACCTACCACACCACACGGGTTTTCACCTTTGTAACGTTGTACCAAAATCTTCCGTGTCCGTAGCTCTTATTTATGATTCAGACCTGGGACATGAATCCGGTTTTGTTCTTAACAACCACTCTTCACCATGTTTTTAACCGCCACTGGACGGTTGGACCGTTCGGCCCAGGTACTCTATAGGCAATTGGTTCCATTTTATCTTAAATTCGATCCCTAGTAAAAATTGTTGAATCAGTTAATGATTCGTTGATTTAGGTAGTTGAACTGTTAATTCATTCAATTGTTTTGTTCATTTTATATTTTATATTTTATTTTTTTTTTCAGAACGGGCGGTCTGTTCAAACCAAACTATCGAACCATTAACCTGAAAACCAGTGGCCATAACGACTCTATTTCCAGATCGTTTTATAAAACCATACTCCTCACACCAAGTACTTGCACATTCACACATCCAGAACATCTCGGTACTTGTACATTATTTTTTATGAAGAGATGATCTCAATGCACAACTGCAGCTTTCTGTGAAAGTCTAAGCAAATCTGGATTCGGACAAGAAGGGACAAACCTTGGGTCACTTGGATGAAACAGGATTCAGTGAGAACAAAGTCCATTCGAACAACCATATTATAGCCTTGTATCTCAGTTTTATTTCCATTCAACCCAGGTCACTTGTATCTCAGCAAAGCCGATCTTCACTTGGATAAGTTGAGAAGAATAAAAAATGGCTGGACTTTTATTTCCATTCAACCCAGGTCACTGCACAGAGAGAGAGCCCGTTTTGAAAGGGATTCGCATCGCCTCCATGGAACAAAGCACGTTAAACAACAACTGTCATCATCCATTTATTTTTCTTTTGAACTATATTGTATCTTTATTGTATTTCAAACTTATAAAACACTAGATTTAATAAAATATAGTTAGAAACATAAAATAGGCAAAGTGAACCATCTTCATAAACAACGCTCCCTTCCAGCCAAATCATTTTTTTTAAGTGCTTGACCATGGCCCTGTTTCACTGCACCATGTTAAAGGAACAGCCTATTGTCAAGTAAAATAACAAATGTTATAAAAAATACAGAGCCAAGTACGAGATGAATGATTCAGGCTATGTTTGGTTTGAAGGAAAATGTAGGAAAAAGAAAAAGACCTTTACAAATCTTGTATTGGTTTTTCCGTCTTCCCCTTCCTACCTAATTTCTTTTGTTTCTGTCTAAAATTCTATAGGAAAAAAAAAAAAAAACTCCACAGTTGATTCAAAATTCAAATAATTTCAGCATATTATTTTCTACTGGAATTTTTAATCGATTTATTGTAATTATTTTTTTTTTTTGCGGGGGGGACTTGACCAATGTGGAAATGGAAACATTAATACGGAAATTGGAAAATGGGAGCAATATGTGAGTGGGGCCGGGATGAATCTGGATTAGCACATGAGAGCTCGTTTGGTGAGTGATGTATTCTCCGCGTTTCCCGCATATGTGTTGTAGCCTTGTAGGACAAAACCAGGTCCGAAATGAAAGAAAAACCCTAACCTTCCCCGAATGGAATGTGTCACGTGGCATTTCCTCCTTTACCACCAACATGCTCTGAACTCTGAACTTACAACAGTTTAAACTTATAAATCGGGATCTGAGCCTCTAATCATCAGTTTTATATTTCTTTTTTAATCTTGCTTTCATGTCAACGGCAACACCGTTGTCAACTCCTCGACTACCCCAACCTGTCCATACTTCTTCTCTCTCCGCACCCCTTCACTTCAGATTGATCCATATCTATCGTTGATTTCATCTTCTTTAGAAATGGACGGCTTCGATCACAATGAGTAATGGTGGATCTAAAATAGTCAAAACTCAGAGGCGTCCATCGCACCTACACGTCGTTCCTAGAATGGAATCTCTTATTCAGGTCGTCGAAGGGGTAGTATGGTCACTTCCTTTTTTTTAGGGTAAGTGAACAATAAATCCGTCCCTCGGTAAACTAACGCCGTTAGATGCTCCCAGTCGTGACGACGTTAAAAACTGCGACGTTTTTCGTGACGGAGAAGATACTAAGGAGATATATTAATATTTTTTAAGTGCCAGGAAATATATTAATATTGATAGAAGGGAAACAGAGAAGAAAGAGTGAGCGTATAAAGATCTTAACAGAGTGTCCTTCCCAGTTCCCACCTCGTTAAGATAGCAGACACAGAGAGCGCGAGCGAGCGAGAGAGAGAAGAAGATCTATATGTAAATTCGAGCAACATTTCGTCTCAGCATATTTGGTTAGATCGTTACGTGAAATTCAAATTTATCTTATCTGATTTCCATCTACCTCGACCGACAAAAACATAGAACTGGTTTCGTTTCGATTTTCAGACGCATTTGAGATGAATTGCGCTGAATTATCGTAATTCACATCGAAGGTACGCATCTATAGTTTCGTTTATTTTTTGGATCTATCTTTCCTTATGCTTTAAATTCTAAATTCTCGTGCTTGTGAAATTTCTGTAATTTATTCGAGGTGGTGTTTGATCAAACCATATAAACCTTTGGATTCACTATCTAATTCAGAAGAATTTCGATGAATCTTATTTGCTTGAACGGAACTTGGACTTGCAGATTTCGCAGAAAGCCTTGGAGCATGGAAAGTTGTGGATTTTAGAGGACAAGTTTTGAGAAATTCTGCATGAATTCTCTGTAAAAGGATTACTACTCGAAATCCACTGAGATGAAAAGTTAGCAGAGAGTATATTAATCACGTACAATTCGAGTTATATTTGGTAAAAAGACCTCTGGATTCAAGGTGGCTTGCTTGGAGAGAGAATTTTCTGTTGCTGTTATAAGTGCACGGTTAATGCACCTCCGATCTTCAGTCGGAGGCGTTGTTTCTGTCGGAATTTCATCCTTTCCACTTCTTAAGAAATCCGAGCTCTAGAAAAACGAGTTGTCATCTCGTGAGAGATCCAATTTCACACTTTCAGAACGTCTGGTGTCCGAAAGTCCGAAGCCTCTATACACTAAGTGAAGACTATATCTTCGGCGTTTGTATTCCCTTCAGATGGTCGATCGGAATTTTTGCATCAGCAACAAGTTGACTGGGAAAAACCTGGGGCTCGACGGGGAAACGAAGAAATAAAAAGAAGAATTTTGATTGGCAACCGAAAAAAAAAAAGAAGAAACTTGAGAAGAACAAGTAAAAATATCTCAATTGTGAATGGAGCTTCCTCAACCTCGCCCCTTTGGAACCGAAGGTAAGAACAGAAAAATCCATCTACTGTGTTATTTTCCGTTAAATTTTGCACATAAAAGAAAAGGTTTAATGTTTTCTTAAAAAAAAAAATTATTCAGGCAAAAAAACAACACATGATTTTCTTTCACTATATGGTCATCCGTCTTTCCAGCACCAAGATCCAAGGCCTCCCCATGGTATGTATGTTATCAAGATCTCCTCCATCTTATTTTCCTTTGGTTTTATGAATTCAAAATATTTCTTAACGCTGCCTTTATTTCTAATTTCTATGTAAAATGAAATTGAATTTTTTCCAGTGAAATATTTCAGTTGTTACTTAAGCATCTTTTACAGCAAAAGCTTTTTATTTTTAATTTATCTCTTCTAATTTATTTTAATACAAAAAATAAAAATAAAATAGCCTCTATTTCACGTTGAAACAAACAAAGCCGAACAGTAATATCAGATGGTGGCATCGCAGGCTCCATTGATTATTCACGTGACCCTACTGAATCATCCATCTGGGCCATTTATTTGGTGGGGCTACACCTACTAAGAGGTCATACTCACCGTCACCGAGAGTTATTTTCTTTTAATTTTAGTCAGAGCGTGTATGTTTTTGTGTAGATGTGGTAAATTAATATAGTCAATGGCAAAAATCTCGCCTTACATGGATGACTCAGGCTCAGTAAACTTAGGGCATTGTCGGATTGGAGTTGCATGTATGGTTTGTGGTACATGGGGAAATCTCCTGGACATAGAGTTTTGGCACTACCGTACGTGTCATGCAACCAATGTACGGTTTGATTCATTGACATGATTTTTTTTTTTACTGTCCGATTGGTGTCAAATCCTTAAAGAGATTGTTATAGAAAAACAGTAGCATACCATCCAGGGCGTCGTGAATAATAAATATAGTTCGGTTGTTAATTGGATTCTAATTGTAGAAAGTGATGATCCATCACAACTCACAAGAGGCACCAAAATGCTAGCTTTGACAAGTGATTCTTGATGCTTGTTTATATTGAAAATGATAAGTTGAGTCATGTGCTCGATTCCGGCCAATACTAAAAAGAAAGGCTTGACAAAAGTGAATGTTGGCATCAGTCAACAACGTGCGTGAGTGATAAGGAAGTTAAAAACAAAGAGATCATTTTCCTTAGGGATGGTAATATCTAATATGAGTCTGATTGATGCTAACAGTACCTGTTGGGTTTGGAGCAGGATTCTTAATCCTCAAGACTCATGACTTTCTGCAACCGCTGGAGAGACTAGGGAAGAAGAGCGGCAAGGGAGAAAACACAGTTGAGGCAGCTCCAAATCCAATTGAAAAGCCACTGCCTCCTCCTCCTCCTTCAGTGGAGCATGCTCTCCCTGGGGGAATCGGCACCTACAGTATAGGCTACAACTCCAATTTCAATCATCGAAGTGTTCCTCCTAAGCCTGAGACAAGTGTATTTTCACCAACCAGCAGTACGGAGAAGAATGGGGAAGTTAACAACAAAGCTAATTCCAACGGTGGTTCTTATAGTGGAGGAGCTTTTTCGTTGTGGAACCAGTCTGTGGTGAAGGAGAAAGGAGCATTGGTGAAACTGAAAGATACTGTCGCCCAAGAAACACAAGTTGTAAAAGGTAATACTTTTCCTTTTCTTCTATATATAGTTTTAAAAACTACAGCTGGAACGAGAAAGAAATATACTCCCATCAACATAAACGATAGGGTCAGTGGCTCGGTGCTTTGCAATTTAAGCAATCCAATGTTGATGGCTGTTTCACACTTTCACTTTCACCTTAGTGCAGCATAGAAGCTGGATTTTGGGATTATGGGATTATGTGGTGGGTCCAAATCCATTTGAATTGATAGCTAGCTTGGGACCTAGTTGTGATTTGTGAAACACACGCAAAGATTAGATCCATTGTTTCAGGCAAATTGTGGAGTGAAAAGCTCCATCTCCCCCGGTGCCCAAAATAATAATAAACTCATAGAACAAAAAACCATTCTATGCATATATCCCAAAGATCCTTACTTGCATCAAACTATGCGTGGGATTGCGGAGTTGTGGAGACTTCCTTGCATTGGATTACAAGAAGGATTTTTTTTTTTTGCCAACAAATTCTCTATATTATATATAAAGTAGAAAAAAGTTTTCAAACAGGGTTTGGAGCCTACCCAGGGAAGCCAGCCACTTACAAACACAAGTGCACAACTCAGCTGTCAGCCTCCGTAACTTCCGCCATTATAAGGTCACGTGTTTTAGGGTTGCATTAAATATGGCCTGACAGGCCTGTGGTCTTACAAGTAGATAATGGCGGTGCTACGTACATGTCAATATGTCATCCAGATATACCATGCGTCCGTTGTTCATCTTCATGGAACAAAGCAATTCTTATTATGGGCCAATGATACATTGGTGGGCCACCTTTTTATGGGCTCTATTAGAATTGGGAATTTGAGGCTCTCTCTCTCCGGATGGCTACGTAACCCAATCTGGACTGGACATGTCTTGTCTGAAGCATATCCCCACTAGAGTTCGTCAACAATTTCTATGTATATTTTTCAATTTAGGAATGTGAAAGTTAAGCAAATGGGTTATAAACTAACGTATATAATCATTACAGGAAGTTCAGATCTCCTGCACCACTTCCCTAGTACACATTCCACTCACTGTGTCACATCACCACTTGGATGTTGGATCTAGATCCATATGCTTATTTCTTACAAAATATATAAAAAGATCAATAAATTGTGGATAGTCATGGTGGATGCTGAGGGTGCAGTGTTAATTTATAGTAGTTATACAGCTGAAATCACCCTAATACCAAGGGAAAGGCACGTGGAACAGGGTGTCGTCGTTTTGTTGTTAGTTTTCCAGGCTTCTTTTCCTTGTGAAATTGATTTCCAAACCTCTTTCATGCATGTCTATTCCATTTTCAATGGCCACTTGGATCCGATATATTTTACTTATATTGACTTGATCAAGTGTCGGCTTCACCAATCACCAAGGTACAAAAGCAACAATATTACTTCTCTTGTCATAATGACTGTTTGGATTAATATATATTGTATTATCTCTATCTTTTGTTTTGAGGGTCTGACCACAATTTATGATTGTATGTCTTAACTCTTTTGCATATGGAATTGCCTTTACACTCACTTCACTTAGCTTCCTCTAGATCGAGTCTAGATCGTTTGGACAAAAGAAAAGTTGTAGCACATCTACATGTTGGTGCAGGACTGGCCCTGATACCTATTTTGTATATGTGAAAGGAAAAAGGCCAAAGTGGAGACATGAAAATACGAAGCATCAAGCTAATGTAGTTCACTGTTTTCGCTTGTCATCGTCTCTCTGTTCAGATAAGTAAGAAATTGCCAAATGGAAAGAAATAAAAAAAAGTTATCGTGTCTTTCGTATTTATTATTTCCCTTGTTTGTCGTAGTCGCATGTGTACGACTAGACATTTTCCATTTCCCGGTCACGAGAACCCCACATGTCCAACACGTGACACACATGACACATCACTAATTCCAAATTCTAACGTAAGCCGTGGGTACCACCCATTAAGAAAGTGCACCATGCACCCGCCTTCCCCCTTTGGTTTCACTAATTAATTTTCTGTTATTAGTTTCTCAGCGAAGATAATAAATTGGTATTCTCCATTTCTCTCCGTCTACTCTCTCACCACTTCACCAGTGCAGTCTCTTCCTGTGGGGTCAAGAATCAACATTTACATTCCACATCCCCGGCTCCGGAACCGAAGGAGTCCATAAACCAAATCCAAAAGTCTTTTCATTAAATCCGGCCGTAGGCGCAGCCAATTGAGCTCTCACTGGCACCGTGCACGTTAGCCTAGACCGTCTCTAAATTTACCAACACCTAGGGCTTCATTGATTCATTTCTCTCCTCTTGTACTGCAGAACCGGTGGAGCAGTTAGGGCAGTGGTCGTCCGAGGAGCGGCCATTGCGTACCCTATTCACTCATCACACTAGTCTCATCTCTCAGTCTTCCTCTAAGTTGGTGTTCTTTCCCTCTTCTTCTTGTCCTTCTTCTTAGGATCTCGTGGATTATGCTCGTTTTTGCTGATTCTTTTTGGGGGTTTGTCAATTTTACAGGCAGCCGGAGCAGAAAAGTCAAAGACTTATAGACATGATGAAATCTGCTAAGGGTCATCAGGAAGAGGAAGAAGACGATGAAGAAGAGTTCGCCTCCCGGAAAGAAGTTCCTTTCCAGAAAGGTATGTTGTCTCCGTCTCTCCAACTTGAGTTTAATCCTACTCCCGGAGGTCTATGGTTTGCCAGTAAAAGGTCTCTCCATGTTCTTCGTTATCTATGGTTGTCGCTTTCGTGTGTTTTCTGAACTTCCCGCGAATCAAACCGTTTGAATTTATTCGTTTCGTTGAGTGCATGTCAAAGAGATTAACATCTTTTTTTATTACCAATTAGTCGATTTTTGGTTCTCATACTATGTGTTCATATTCTTTTCTTGTTAAGGGATAGATTCTGGGTCCAATTCTGTTTTTATTTACACAGTTTTGCAATCGTTTTTTCAGTAGATTTGACTGTAAAGGTGGACGGGAAGAACATTAACCAGAAGACTGCCACACTTACACCGCGGTCAAAGCACTCTGCCACAGAACAGCGGCGAAGGAGCAAGATTAATGACAGGCAAGTTATACCATTCTTGCATATGCGGTTTTTAATCATTCTTCTTGTCTCAAGTTTGGCTATATTGTGGTTTTTAATGTCACATTAGTTTTAAATGCCCTCGACAATTTATTTCGTCTACTTCCTTTTAACTCTTTATATGGATTCTTATATTGTAGTTTAGAGAGACCTATCCCTATCGGAGTCTTCCACAACCTCACTTCATTGGTGGGTCAGGTGTTTAATTTTGGAATTTCCTCCCATTTTGTTTAAATATTTTGTTCTTGCCCTTCTCATGTGTTGCTTCAGTTACAGAGTGGCTTCTGAAGCTATTATTTGCGTATTTTGACTGTTTTACTGTATCTGGTTTCTCCTAATACTTCATGATGGTTTCAACTTCTATCTCGAACAAATTTCGTCTCTGCTCCTTTATCTTCCCACCC